AAACAGAACACTTGATTATCTCAGCCCGAAAAGGTCTTCTCCACAACACATTAAAATTGTCAAAAATTAATGACAAAGAATTCTCAAAACCTGGTAAAGCTCATACACACAAAAGAAATCTATAGACCAATATCTCATACAGATGCAAAAACACTAGCAAATTGGATACAACAACACATTAAAAAGATTATGCACCATGTAGGCTTCATCTCAGGGACATGGGGATTGTTTAACATATGCAAATCAATTAATGTGATACACCACATAAAATAAAGGATAAAAATCATATCAATAGATACAGCAAATGCATTTGACAAGATACAGCATCCATTTGTGGTTAAAACACTTAATAAAATGGGTAATGAAGGAAAGTATCTCAACATAAAAAGCCCATATATGACAAACCCTCAGGTAATATCATACTTAATGGTGAAAAACTAAAAACCTTCCAAGATCAAGAATAAGACAAGGCTGTCCACTATCACCACTATTATTCAACATAGTATTGTAATTCCTAGCTGGAGCAGTCAGGCAAGAGAGAAATAAAAGGCATCCAAATAGGGAATGAAGAAGTCATATTGTCACTTTTTGCAGATGACATAATTCTCTATAAAAACCTAAAGATTCCACTAAAAAGCTATTAGAAATAATAAACACAGCACTGTTTCAGGATACAGAATCAATGTACAAAAATCCATACCATTCCTATGCTCTTAACAGTGAATTTTCAGGGAAAAAAAATGAAAAATACCTTTTGCAATTTCAGCAAAAAGAATAAAATGCCTAGGAATAAACCTAACAAAGCATGTGAAAGACCTATACACTGAAAACTATAAGACATTATTAAAAGAAATTGAAAACAAACAAAAAAAATGGAAAGATATTTCATGATTTTGGATTGGAGAATCAACATAATTAAAATGACCTTATCACCTAAAGCATTATACAGATTTAATGCAATCCCCATCAAAATCCCATTGACATTCTTTAAAGAACTAGAACCAAAAAAAATCAGATTTGCATGGAAGTACAAACGACCCCAAATAGCCAAAGCAATACTGAGGAAAAAAACAAGGCCAGAGTTATCACTCTGCCCGACTTCAAATTGTACTACAAAGCGACAGTAAAAAAAAAAAAAAAAAAGCATGGGATTGGCAGAAAAGCAGACGCACAATTCAATGGAATGGAATTTAGAGTCCAGAAATAAACCCTCATATATATGAGCAAATAATTTTCGACAAAGGAGCCAAAAACATACAATGGAGAACAGAAAGCCTCTTCGACAAATGGTACTTGGAAAATTGGAAAGTCATATGCAAAGAAGGAAAGTAGACTGCTGTCTATTACCATATACCAAAATTAACTCAGAATGGATCAAAGACCTGAATAGAAGACCTGAAACAATAAATTACATGGAAGAAAACATAGATACTAAACTCATGGACCTTGTATTTAGAGATTTTATGAATATTACTTCAGAGGCAAGGGAAGTAAAAGCACAAATAAATGAATGGGACTGTATTAAACTAAAAAGCTTATGCATAGCAAAAGAAACCATTAAGACAAAGAGGCAACCATCCGAGTAGGAGAAGATAGTTATTTGCAAACAGTGCCTCTTATAAGGGCCTAATATCCAGAATATACAAAGAACTCATACAATTCAACAATAAAAAGCAAACAATCCAATTAAAAATGGGCAGAGGACCTGAACAGACACTTCTCCCAAGAAGACATACAAGTGACCAGCAGACATATGAAAAGATGCTCAACCTCACTAGCTATAGGGAAATGCACATCAAAACCACAATGAGATACCACCTCAAACCTATTACAATGGTTGTCATCAACAGGACAAGTAATAAAAAGTGTTAGAGAGGTCGTGGGGAAAAAGGAACCCTCAGATACTGCTGGTGGGAATGTAAATTGGCAGTTACTATGGAAAACAGTATGGAAGTTCCCGAAAAAACCCAGAATAGAATTACCATATGACTCACCATTCCCTCTTCTGGGTATTTACCCCCAAAACTTGAAAACATTTATCTGCAAAGATATATGCACCCCGATATTCATAGCTGCATTGTTCACAGTGGCCAAGACATGGAAACAACCAAAGTATCCATTGATAGATGATTGGATAAAGAAGCTGTGGTACATGTATACAATGGAATATTACTCAGCCATAAGGAAATATGAAAGCTTTCCATTTGTGACAACATTGATGGATATTGAGATTATCATGCTAAGCGAAATGTCAGTCAAAAAAAATTGAGAACTATATGATTTTACGTATGCGAGATATAAAACAAAGTAACAAACATGACAGACTCATGGACATGGGTAGTAGATTAGTGGTTACCATTGGGGAGGGGGGAGGTAGATTGGGGTAAAAGGCATCAAATATTTGGTGACGGAAGGACATTTACCTTTGGTGAACACAGTGCAATATACATGTGATGTGTTATTGAATTGTAAACTCGAAACCTATTGGATTTTATTAACCAGTGTCACCCCAATAAGTTTCATAAATTAAAAAGTCAAGCTTCTAAATTTTCACAGTGAATAAGCCTGGAGAAGGTTTGTATTCTGTCTAAAGTGAGTGGATCCAAGAGGCAGCGTAAGTAATCCTGAGGCGTATTCATTCATTCATCCTTTGTGTCATAGTGACACTCCCTTGCTGGGGATACAGATGAGCATTATAAATCTGGTTCCTGCCTTCATGGAGCTTGCATTCTGGTGAAGGAGACAAACAAGTGCATAAAAAATAAGGTGATAAGAAATTGTGTAAATGTTCTAGGGGAATAACTAGGGTGATGAGAGTCACTTTATTTAATTTTATTATAGAACATTCCAAGCATAGAGAAGTAGAATAGTGTAATGATCCCACCCGTCCACCCTACCTCCCATGTACTCATCACCCAGTCCAATAGTTAGCAAGTTTTGGCTAATGTTATTTCATCTATTATTCCAGCTCAATACACCCCCCCACCAATTGAATTATTTTGCAGCAAACCTAGATATTATATCGCCTATATACATTTCAGTAGCCACAATACCATTTTCTTGCCTAAAAATATTAACTAATCTCTTAATATCAAAATAACTAGCCAGTGTTCAAATTTTCCTGTTTCATAAATGTGTTTCTTTTACAGTTTGCTTGACTTTATATGCAAATAAAGTACATATAGTGCAATTGCTTGGTATTTTTTAAGTCACTTATAATCTTATAATATCTCAGGAAAGTACCTTAAGATGGTCAGGGAAGATATTTTGATTGGAGACCTGAGAAATGAATGAGCTAGATTTAGGAAGAATATTCCAGGTAGTGAGAGGAGTGTGAATTATAAATTCACATGCAGTTGTAATAAATAATACAGAGATCCTGTGTACCCATTACCCAGTTTTCCCAAAGTTCCAAAGCATAATTTTTCCACACTACAATTTTCTTGCAAAACTATAGCATAATGCAACAACCAGGATATTGGCATTGATGCAGTCAAGATACAGAACAATTCTGTTGCAAGGATCCTTCCTGTTGCCCTGTTGTAACCACACACACCTTTCTCCTCCTCCCACTTTGTAGTTTTTATATTACCTTTCTCTGGTTTGGTATCTGGATAATACTGGCCTCATAAAAATAAGTTGGAAAATAATTCCTCATCATCTGTTTTCTGGAAAAGATTGTGCAAATTTTGTGTTAATTATTTAACTGTGGTAGAATTCTCCATTGAAGCTGTTTTAGGTCAGCCTTCCTAGAGGTTTATCAATTTTATTGATTCCCTTTCCCCCAAGAACCACCTTTTTGTTTCATTGGTTTTTCTCCATTGTTTTACTATATTCAATTTCATTGATTTCTGCTCTTATGGTTATTTTCTTCCTGTGTACTTTTGGTTTTATATTCCAACTTTCTAGTTTCTTGATGTAGGAACTTCCATTACTGATTTAAGCAAATAATGCATGTTTAACATAAAATACTTGTTGAATTCAGTGCTTGAAAGTTTATCTCCAGATATGTTTTCTTCCTTTGTTCTGGCTACCAGGAATCTCACCTTCCCTGTTCTAATTAGTTTGTGGTTTGATTTTTTTCACCATTTGCTGCTATTTTTCTTTTACAATATAAATTAACCATTCTTTATAAAAGTAGGATCCTTTCCATCATTATTTAGATGGTAAAGGAATAAGTATTAAATAATAAGTATCGCCTTTATCAGCTTGCAAGACTTTCTTATTGGACCAGAGTACACTTAGCGTAGAATGAAGTCAAGGGCTACATCTGTCTTATTCTCCATTGTATCCCTGGCACCTAGCACAGTGACTTGTGTAAGAACATTTAATATGTTGAGTGAACTGGCCATCATGATCTCATTTGTTCTTTTTATGATCTTTCTACTTTTGTTATATGGACTGTGACAGTCACAGATGCTGTATCAAATTTGCATTCACATGTCAAGTGCCTGAAATGAGATATAGCCTACCAACTGAAATTATGGTTCAAATATTTGTGAATACTTTAGCCAATCTTTTTCATGTCCCATGTAATTTAGGTAATATTTATATAGTGCATTGGAGTAAACTGAGGCAATGAACTGCTTCTCATACAAGAGCTCCTCCAGGACAGTGGTCCCCAAACTTTTTAGCACCAGGGACCAGTGCTACTATGAGAATCTAATACCTGATGATCTGAGGTGGAGCTGAGGTGGTGATGCTAGCAGCTGGGGAGCAGCTGCAAATGCGGATGAAGCTTCCCTCACTTGCCTGCGGCTCACCTCCTGCTGTGCGGCCTGATTCCTAACTGGCCACAGACCACTACCAGTCCACAGCCCCAGGGTTGTGGACCCCTGCTCCAGAAGATCTGCTGAAGTGAGGGTATCAAGATCCACATGCAGCTGTAACCCATTAGCAACATATCAGTAGGGAAACTATGGTTTTTAAACCTTACTGTCTGTAGAATTATAGTACTTTAAAATCTATTGTTTTTGTCATCTTTCCTTTCCTGGTTGTAGTGTGGAAATTGGCGAAAGCGTACGTGGAGAGGATGTCTACATCGTTCAGAGTGGCTGTGGAGAAATTAACGACAATCTCATGGAGCTTTTGATCATGATTAATGCCTGCAAGATTGCTTCAGCCAGCCGGGTTACTGCAGTCATCCCATGTTTCCCTTATGCCCGGCAGGATAAGAAGGATAAGGTGGGAGCAGAATTTCCTTTAAAATTTTTTTTTTTAAATCAGTAGAAGCATAAGCACTTGGCCAAAGTTCCAAAAGATTCCTTAATCATCAAATATATATTTAGAAGGTATTATTTTTTTTGTCACATTCTCTTAGACATTATTGAATCTTCAAGTGATATGTGATTGGTATAAAGCAACACATTTGTAGTCTGTATATTTTATTCTGGTCATACATATATAACTTTCTGTTAGCTCACTGCTGTTTTTTAATTGTATCAGTAAGACTAAGCACCAGCTCCTATGGAGTAGAATATTTTTGAAACTATGATAGAACTTCTGGGACCATCTTGCAGTTATAGTTATGACCTCTTCATAAAACTTGGAAATCTGTTACATGAGTACTCGATCTCTTTGTACACGCACACCCCCTCCCCTAATTTATCTGATATATATTAGAGGATAGGCATATACATAAAACTTTGCAGGTCTATTGTCTATTGTAATCAGTGCCCAAATTTTACATATAATGCCTAGGAGAAGGCCAGATATTTTTATTCCAAGAGTATAGAAAAAGGGCATTTTATAGTGCAGCAGCTATGTTTACCTGTTATTTAAGGAGGCTGAGGTTGCTGGAAGGTTGACCTCCAGATGAGTAAGGCAGTGGTGTAAATAAATTCCATGTCTTTAAATTTTGACATGCTAGATGTTATACAGGTTTGACTATATATGTGTGAAAAGAGATTTCAATAAAATTCTTTCGAAAAAGATTTTTTAAGCCTGCCTAATTTAAACTGAGCATTGGAAACACTTGAATAGGCTGAAAATATGTATATTAAATTAAGAAAATGAAAGGTAGAAAGGTATTTTCTTTTATGAAATACATATCCTGAGTTTGAAAAGTGATGTTCCACTTAATATTTATGCTAGATTGTGATCTACTCAGTCAATGGTCATGTCACTTTTTTTGAATTTCCTAGTAGCACAGTGCCTTAAACATAGTAGGTACTCAATAAATAGATGCTTATTGAGCAAACGAATTGTTTCTCAAATTGACTATTTGGTTTTGTTTTTTTTTCTCTCCTCCATTTAGAGCCGTGCTCCAATCTCAGCCAAGCTAGTTGCAAATATGCTCTCCGTAGCAGGCGCAGATCATATTATCACCATGGACTTGCATGCTTCTCAAATTCAGGTAACAGTGGAAGCTGAACATTAGCTTAGAGGTTTTCAGGGGTTAGAAAAGGGGAGGGGAGAGGATTGAATGCTGAAGCAAAAAACTGCCCAAGTACAGCTCTAATGAACTAGACATTGACAACATTTTAAACATCCTCACTTTAAGCTCAGTTCATGATCTTAGTCATTTAGGGTGATTGGAAAAGGAGACAGTTTTGTATCCTGGGAAGAGTGGAGGCTTTGGATCAGACCTAGTTTGAATACTGGCTCTGACACTTGGCTAGCTTTGTAACTGTGAGCAGATTATTTAACTTCTCTGAATATACACCGCTTTGCGAGTATTAAGATTAAATTCATAGTATGCCTGGTGCATGACAGGAACCAAATAAATGGGAGCTGTTATTGTTATCATTAAGTTTAGAGTCACAGATATTGGAACCTACTTTCTAGCATAAACTCGAAGTAAGGGGAGCTGAATACCACCTTATATTTATACACTTTAAAGAGATTCGTTAAATCGTTATCATTGGAACCTTATGGCAGTCCATTGAGGTACATAGGACAGGTGATTAAACCCATTTTGTAGAAGAGGAACAAATCAGTTGAGAAACACAACTAATCTGTAGCAACTAGAATTAGAGCACAGATCTGACTTCTATTTACTCTCTGTGACCATTTATTATAAGTACTTTCCATTAAATTTATGTATCATAGCATCTCTAACTGGTTTACCAGTTAGCTTTTGCTGAACTTGGCTATTTTTTCCAAGGGTTCACTCATGTGCCTAGGGTCAGTTGTGGGTCACCGAGAGCTGGCTTTGCCTGTTGTGGCTGGGCTCTCTTGCACAGTCTGAATTCCAGGAGGCTGTTTTTATAATCTCCCACACTGGGCATGCCTTTTAATCAGTCTGAATGTTGCAGTAAGCTATTCTTTGGGCAAGTCACCATTCTCTTTGCGTTAATCATTTATAAGTGGAAGAGAAGGAACACAAAGCAAAACTGACCCAGCTCCTTTCTACAGGGCTTTTTTGATATCCCTGTGGACAATTTATATGCAGAGCCAGCTGTCCTGAAGTGGATAAGGGAGAACATCTCTGAGTGGAGGAACTGCACCATTGTCTCACCTGATGCTGGGGGTGCTAAAAGGTATGGCTGAAATTCATATTATTCTCAATGTACTGGGAAAATCTTTCAGACAGTTGTCAGAAAGTGATGTCTTTCTATCCAAGTGACTGATACTTTTTAAGTACTTCACCATGGATGTGCCAGTAGCTGGCCCCGCTTTTTCTGGCCCCAGTCCCCACCTGAAAGACAAGACAGCAATAGGGGGACCCTGAATAGTTTGGTATTGTGGACCTGACTATAACCTCTTGGTAACTTGGCGCTGCAAGGCTAGTAACACTGCTGGAAACCGATCGGGGAAGGGAGGAAATTTGGTTTTCTAATGAGTGGCACCTGCTGTCAAACCACATGATAATAGTGGACAAGCAAGCTTTTACACACCTCTTAACGCTGTTGTTGGTTAGACCATTTTGATCCTTTGGATTAAAGTATTAAGCAGGAAGGAAAATAAAGCGTGGTAATTTTATTTAAAGCCAAGACCTTAACATTTTAAACGAACTGCCACGGATTACCAGTTGCGGTACTTTATAGCTCACGTGGTGCCGACTAACAACTTTTTATTTCCTCAGTGGATCATGCATTAATAATGCATTCAAAAGTGTGACATACTCTCTTCATGTTGTGGAAATGGAACGAAGAGCTACCAAACACAGATGATTAGGAAAAGCTAATTCAGATCTCTCTAAAAGCCATTCAAATCTTCAATGACTGTTTCTCAACAACCTCTTTATTTCAGTAATTTCAACAGTACTGATAAGCTGAGAACTTGAATTTGATTATCCAGACAGATATATGGCTTTGTCAGGCTCATGTAACCACCAGTTACCATCTGTAATACTAGAGACAGCCTAAAAAACACCCCCTAATGGTAATTGTCATACTTGTTTTAACTTGTGCATTATTTTCACATCTAGCCATGGGACTTAGAAAATCGTCACATATGAAATAAATAATCAAGCGGGATTTTCTTTCCAAAGTTGGGTACAGAAAAACCACCTTTAATAGATGACTTATTACTACATGTATTTTTTTGGTTTTTAATTTTCTTAGTGATAGAGTTTTCAAAATTAGTAGCTATCACTTCTGTGTTGGCAGGATTTTTGGAGTAGGGAGAGATCCCGGTGCAGTTGTGACTTGCACATAGTGTTCCTCTCAAGGGCATGGGAAGTGACTTTTCGTAGCCCTTTATGCTTTTTCTGCAGTCACTAAGTTTGTTGGACATTAAGTATGGATAGTTTGGGATGCTCGAAATAATCATGTATTTATCTCAGATTTATTCATACATTCCAAGTAGATTGGTTACTCTAGATGATATATGCCCATGAAGCAGTAATGGAGAGGACGGGGTGTGGCTCATTTAGATCAGGGTACAAATGTCACCTAGGTTGTAGTTCAAACCTTGCTGTGGTCTCTATTATATGGTCGCAGGTTCTCCTCTATCTAGCGCAAACTCAGATATGTGACCAGTGTCAGAAGGGAAATAGGACAGAATGCTCTGGTTGGATCAGTACACTAAAAAATAAAGCCCAAAGCACAGGTCTCATTACACATAATGAGGATGGCACAGTGGAGTATGGTTGTGCATGCCAATGGGACAGCACAGTCATTTACACTATATGAATTTCCGTTTGAATGAATGATAACAGTATTTTGCCACCAGACAAGTTTGTCTTCTATCTCATCTTCTAGTCTTTCTATTATCTTATAATTGGAAAAAAAAAACTCACAAAAACTGTTTTGATTTGGAGATACTTTGGCTGTACAATGGCATGCCCAGTTTGCCTGGTTAATTGGTATAACTTCCTTTCTAACAGGCATTAAAGGAACTCCCAAGCTTGGCATCCAGGCACAAGCATTAGAACAGGCTGGGTACTGCTCCTCTCCTGCCAGGTTCAGGTCCACTTCTCATCACATCCTCATGTCAAATTAGGACAGTCTGCACTCCTGATATTAGTTAACTGAGTCTTTTCTCTCACCGCTTCTGCTGCCAATTCATTCAGTGTACGCACCTTAGCATTATACTGCTTCCTAGAACTGGTGAGGGCATCTGTCTATCCCCTCCTGTAACCTAGAATGAATCGTAATTTATGGAAATTGCTCTTAAGATAAGGAGGCATTAGTCTATAAAACCTAGTTTGTAATGTCAATAAATTGTAGTTGCTTTCTTCCAGCTCTGGGAACTGTTTGGTTTCAAGGAGTATTCTCCCCCAGAAAACAAGCCCATTATTTAATCCATCTAGTTTGTTTAGGAACTAATACACCCTAGGTTTTTAAACTAGGAACATCTTATTTTGCAGAGTGACTTCCATCGCAGACCGGTTGAATGTGGACTTTGCCTTGATTCACAAAGAACGGAAGAAGGCCAATGAAGTGGACCGCATGGTGCTGGTGGGAGACGTGAAGGATCGGGTGGCCATTCTAGTGGATGACATGGCTGATACTTGTGGCACAATCTGCCATGCAGCTGACAAGTGAGTGCTGAGCAGTGATGCGGGCTGGTGGTTAGAAGAAAAAAGCTGACTGCTATCTGAATGCCTTAATCTTGCTGATTCTTTTTGGGACTGAATCGAGGGTATGATAACTAGCTTTAGGAGTTTTTTGTCACCCTAGGCTTGAATTGCAATATGTGTAAGTTGATGAGTACTCTTTATAGTACTAAATTATGTATAACATAAAATTGGCCATTTTAACCATTTTAAGTGTACAATTCAATGGCATTAGTTACATTTGCAGTGTTATTCAACTGTTACCACTGTATTTCCAAAATATTTTCATCACTTTGAATACTCTACTTTTGATAGTTGTTTTAAAAAACAAGTTAAGGTAGAAATCCATAGACCTGCGCAGAGAGAAATATATTCTCATATTTATATTTTACCTGAGCGGGAAACCCTAGTCTCACCTCTTGATCGTCTATTTTAGCTGCTACTTCATTCATATTACTTCTCATCTCTCACACTGTTCTAAATTGCCTTCCCTCTGTTCTCTCTGCTACCAGTCACCAGTCTCTTACCTCCCCAGTCCATCTCTCATATTGCCTTCTCACTTGGAAATCTTCCTAAAACCTAAGGCTAGATCCCATCATTCCTCACCTTTAAAACTTCATTCCTCACCTTTAAAACTTTAAGTGGCTCCCCATTGCTCACAGTCTAAAGCACTACGGACAGCATTGTTTCTCATAAATCTTTTTTAACCTCTGAGTGTGCCTTGCTCAGGGCCTGGCATGTAATGGGTACTAAAAACATATTTGTGTGCTGAATGAGCCCTGATTTGGATCCTGGAGTATACATTTATACAATTCTTTTTGTTCTTATATTAGTAAGGTAATGCTAATTACTATAACAGATCAACTCCCTGAAATATCGGTGGCTTAACATGATACAGTTTCTTTCTCATTTATGGTGCACTCCATTGTGACTATTCCTCTCTGAGTCTTATGTCACTGCATCTTTAACATGTGGCTTCTAAGATTACTTTCAGACATTTTCATTGTCATTTTGGCCATCCAGAAAGGGAAAAGAGCATGGAGAATCAATCACCCATGGAAGATTTTTGTAAGCTCAGCCAAGAAGTGTGGTGTACATTGTATCTGCTCACATTTTGATAGCCAGAATTAAACCAGAATTAAGTCGCACGGCAACACCTAACTATTCAGGGCGGGGAGGAGGCTAGGAAATGTAGTCCAGCTGTGTGCCCAGAAAGACAAGATGGATTTTGTTGAGTCTAATAGTCTGCCACGGTCCTTTTACACAAAGCCAGACCTATTCAGATAAGTTCTTAGTCCAGTTCTCTCTCCTTGTTATGCACTGAATTGTGGCCCCCTAAAACTTATACATTGATGCCCTACCCTGCAGCATGTTGGCATTTGGAGATGAGACCTTTGGGAGGTACTTAGGTTTAGATGAGGTCATGAGGGTGGGGTCCTTAATGATAGGATTAGTGCCTTAGAAGAAGAGACCAGAGAGCTTACATCAGCCATGCATGTATATGCACAGAGAGATAAAAAGTGGTCACATGAACACGTAGAGAGATGGTAGCTGCCAACAAGCCAAGAGAAGAGGCCTCAGAATGAAGCCTGCCTTGCTTCCACCTTGATCTTAGACTTCGCAGCCTCCAGAACTGTGAGAAATAAAATTCTGTTTAAGCTACCCAGTCTGTGGTAGGGCAGCCAAGCTAACTAATGCACTTCTTCCTAACTCAGATTCTGTAGTAACAAGTAAGTAATCCAAGTCAACTCTGCTTTTTCCTCTAGGCTTCTCTCAGCTGGAGCCACCAGAGTTTATGCTATTTTGACTCATGGAATCTTTTCTGGCCCCGCCATTTCTCGCATTAACAACGCATGCTTTGAAGCAGTAGTTGTCACCAATACCATACCTCAGGAGGATAAGATGAAGCATTGCTCCAAAATACAGGTGAGGGTGAGATTCTTGCAAAGCAAAATTGCACTAAGCATTCATGAGGTGGTTTCATATGTTGAATTACCAGAAGATTTCTTGCTTTGCTCTTAAGGGTTTAGTTCCTTATCACGGTCTGTGATCTAAAAGTAAAAAATCGTGTACTTAAAGACTTAGATGGCTGGACCTCAGAATCTCTAGAGGTTGGAGCCCAGGAATCTACATTTTAACAGGCATCGCCCAGATGATGCTCACTCAAATTTGCAAGTCCATACTTTATAATATCTGTGTGTGTCACTCTTAACTATTAGCTCTTGCAGACATAATGTGAAACCTTTAAACTGAAGGTACACTCCTTAGAACTCAAGTGTTTCTCAAAGTTGCTTTGGAAACAGCCTCATTACCTTATGTTCTTGTTAAAAAATGCAGATCCCTTTGCTCTATCCAAGACCTACAAAACCAGAGATCCTGGAGCCACTACTTGAAAGTAATTCTCTAAGTAATTGTTAGACACTCAAGTTTAAATGTCGTTACACTAAAATATAAGGCCTTTACTTAATGAAAAATGTGTACAGTAATCCGTTAGCTTTGTAAAATATGTAAAATTGAAGGGTCGATGTTATTAAGGATTTTTTTCCACTTAAATATATGTTTTCTTCATTCCTAAGAATTTTAAATGCCAACTCACCACCATCTTGGTGAGTCTGACTCAGAATTTCTCCTCCATTAGCGTGTCGACTATCCTATATGGTGTTATTTAAAATGTTACGTAGAATAGCTGGGTGCACAAGGGGAAACATCACAGTGCAGCCATCTTACAAGGAAGGACTCTCATTAAGCTGCTCATCATTCTCTGCAAATTGGCCAGTTGTCTCTGTCTATATTATACTAACCCAGTGCTTTTCTTGCCTGTCCAGGTGATTGACATCTCCATGATCCTTGCAGAAGCCATCAGGAGAACTCACAATGGGGAATCTGTTTCCTACCTTTTCAGCCATGTCCCTTTATAATAGAATAACTTCAGAGGCTTTTAAAAAATAAAGTGAACCCCACCCCTTGTTTTCCCTTGGTATTTGATAAAATATTCAGCAGAAGACTCAGCTTACTCTAGTAGCTTTCTACATCCCATGTCAGGTATATTTTAGTTTCTCCAAAATTAGGGAAAAACAGATTGAGACTAATTGCTCAGATTTTTTACCCATATTGTCTCATTCTGGCTTCTTGGTTTTGTGAGCCTTGCAGCTTTAACTACAGCTCAGCTGCTGCAGGTTTTCAGGCTTTGAAGGGTGTTGTGTGGGGGTGTTTGAATGTGATTGGGGAAGCTCAGACTACATGTGAATGTTTCAGGGTTTCCTTAGTTCAGAACTACTAGCAACAAAGCCAACCCAATCTCCCCCTACCCCCCACCCCCCACACACAACACATGACAAGTTCTCTAAGGTCTAAATTACAAGAGCCTTAGGCAGCCCAGAACTCAGCTCTGGTTGGTGAGCCCCTGTAAGGCAAGCTGCTGCGGGGGTTGGGCTGATGGAAGGCAGTGCACACAGTACAACAGATGCTTCTTAGGAAGAAAAATCCTGACCCATCACCCTCTGCTTGGGGATTGTCACTTAGAGTCTTTTGTATCTGTTTCTTTTTCCATTTGACTTGACCTTCAACCATCTGACCTTTTCCTGGCCAAATAATCTTCTTGGGCCCAAATGATCACTGTACCATTGTCTTCTGGAAAGTAAACCTCACTTCTTGCTGTGTATTCTGTAACATTGACACAAGATTATTTCTCTGTAGCTTAATCTTCCTTAGCCCACTACCACCGTGGTAGAAAGTTCTAGGTGGTGTCGTAGTGCCTTTTGATTAATTTAAGTATTTAATTTTCATCTTCCTTCCATGGATCTGTTTGGCCTCTCAGATGACCTGAGATTGCTGTTAAAAAGATATTACTAGCTCTTGTAGAGGAAACTAATAAAGTTTCTGACTGTGTTGTGTGATCATGGATCTATATCATATCTGTACTGCTCTATCTGCCAAAAGTTTAGTTTACGTGTCTTGCTGCCTAATGAGACCTTGTAGTCTTTGTTTCCAAACTATTAGCTGCATTGTTAAGCCAAGAGAAGACATTGGCAGCAATTTTACTGAACTATAAGATCTTAAGATGTCTGGGGTTTACATAGAAATATTTTATATATATATATAGTAATTCTATGCATTATACCTGAATCATAGGATGTCTATTGCCTGCTGAATCTCTGGTTCTTATTCCTGGAGATAGGAATTACATATTTTCTTATTGGAAGAGAATAGTTTCTATAATTTATTTTGAACCAGTTTTGTCAAATGTGGTTAAGATTTTCCTACATCGTTAGTTGACATACGTTTGGCATTTAATTTCAGCCCATTCTAAATAAAAACTATTTAGAGAAGGTAAATGTGCAAAAGTTAAGAATGAATTATAATGAATTCCAAAATTTTAAGTGAGTTTCTTTGCATATCAAATATAAGAGCATCCTTTTATTTTGGGAAGCTACATGCTTCTGGAGCTTTGTGAAGAGTGCTTGCTCCCTTATTTTTGAAGCTTAGTTCTGGTTTTGTTTTTGCTTTGTGTTGAATATTGGGATATCTATCTTACAATGAGTCTTTTGAAAAAAGTGATTCAGAAGGGACCAAAGTGAGCTATGAAAAGTGTGCCTCTGACCCTCTAGCCCTCTTTTACCTGAAATTTTTGCTCTGGGAGAAGCTAATGTAGAGCATCGATGCCATAATTTGTTGATTATGCTGTTTCCTGAAGTATTGGATCAGTTGATCAGGGTTTGCCATGTCAGAATATTTTGATATAAAACATCTGCTGTGGGCCCCCTTGAGTGATCCAGTTAGTGCTTCGGATGAGGTTTTGAGTCATTCAAGAAAGGCCCTCAGTCCCCACCTTTGATCCCTATGCCTGGGAGAAGGTCAATATTCAGTTCCCTGTGACACTCAGCAAAGTGCCATAAGCACCTCCAAGGCCTATTTTTTTTCTTCTAATGGGAAAGACCCAAGTATCCTGAATGGCAAGTGATTCTTGACTGGAGAACCGTAGTAGAAGCGGACCTAGTGAATAGATATGAAGCAGCACCAAAGCTGAATAGAGTTGTAGTGAGAACACAGCTGAAAGGAAACTTTGTGATACCTATGTATCTATTGCTCCTGAGCAAAAGGCATCAGCAGGTTCTATTTCTCATCCCCTCAACTCCCCCAACCCTCAGAACCAGAGAAAAAATTACTTGCACCAAAGCTAAGCTCATCGAGTCCCCAAGCTAATACCTTTATAAAAGATTTTTTTTTTTTTGCTTTTCAAATTAGGGCTGTTAGTCTCCAGATTTGGAATAGAAGCATTTTCTGCTAAAGGGTTTATTTAACTTGCCCATTAATATATTATATAGTTCTTAATCTGAGGGTTATTAGAAAACAAAAACAACTCTCATTGACCTGCCCTTCCACCATCTCCTTCTGACTAACTCCTGATTGTGGGAGTGAGGGAAGACATCTCAGGAAAGGAGTCTGGTTTCTTAACACCTCCCCCACAAACTCTTAAAGTAAGAATGGAGAAAGCTCTGCATTGCTGCCCAGAGCCCACCACTCAGGCTAGAGACCACTGAGGGAGTAAATGCCCTATTTGTGAAAAAAAGCCATTACATTTGGTCATGAAATGAAGCCAGTGGGCAACCCTTGCTTTAATCTGAACCTCCAGTCTTTAGCTGGGTACTTCCTCAGTTGATTGGCTCTTGGAGCCCTGAGCCCTGGCTTCCTCTGCCTCTGGTTTGCCCTTGTGCTGCCTCAACGGGATTCACTTTCATTGCTTGTAACAAGACCTCTTGCACCCAGTGCATAATATGGACAAAACAGGTTCAGATATAGGAGGGCCATGTGTCTTTGGAGTCCTCTACATCATGTAACTGACATCACCAAGGTCATCTATAGTGTTATCCATAACTACAAATAGGAGAAAAGAGGATTAGAAGGAACACAACCATAGGGTGGGAACATACTCCAAAGTTAATTCACATCTCATTTACAGATCAAGGATTGACCAGTCATGTACCTATTAGTCATTTGCTTCCTTTTGCCAGACTGCTGGCTCTCAGGTAAGGCTGTTCTTTAAAGGCTCAGCTTTTTGCTTGTGATTATTCAAAAACATGCACGGTGGTCTCCCTCCCCTCTGAACTATTCACTAGTCCCTGGACACTTCTGCTTGAAACAGGTGGCTTCTGTCATGACAGTCAGATTTTAAAGGCAAAGGGTGCTATAGCTAATGACTTCCCATCCTGTTTTACTTTTCTGCCATGTTTTGAGGCTTGTTTTTCTGTTGCAGATCTTTTTCACCAGTCTAGGACTTCTTATTTAATAATAAAGCAAATTCCACTCCAAAGCATGACGGTAAAGCTTGATGTTTCAGAGAATCTTGGTTCAAGCATTTCTTCTAAGTCACCTTTTTCAAACTCTAGTCTTTGTGAGACGACTGCAGGGGAGCTAAGATGTTAACGGGCACATTCAGATCCCTTGTACTAAACACGTGGGGGTTAGGATTGGGCCTTGCCATTAATTCTGTTTGCTATTCTGGGATCTTTTCTGGGGTGAGTGATGTCAGCTGACTCAGAAGACTTTATACTGTTAAGAACTTGTGTAAAAACCTGATACTTCAGAGATAAGATTGAATGTAAGGTTAGAGGTTAAATCAGAAGTAAGGCCAGATGTTAGTTGTCAGATCTGAAGGAAATTCCAGTGTAGTCAGTTTCTCAAAGTCTGGCATAGTTTGATAATAGGCAAGTGACTTGCAGTCATGTTTGATGCATTCAGATAGGGAAGCGGTCACCATTTCTTTTGAGTGTGAATTCAAGTGGAGGGAGGAGGGATAGAGTGGGTAATAAGAAATGATGGTTTTCAAACTTCAGGAAGTTGAATTTGACCCAGAAAACCCATGGTAATGATGATTCAGTTGCTGCTCCACGTGGCCCCCAAGATTGCAAAATAAAGGGCTTGCAAGGGCTAGACAGATTCCTACTGGTCCACCCTTCCTGAGACAGCTTTCTTATATCAGCACTGAGAGCCAGGAGAAAGGAGACACTTTCTGACCAGCACCTATTCCCCTCTCCCCCACTCTCTCCTGCCCAGAAGCCTGGATGCCTTCAGCCTTTGATGTGCCTAAGTAGATCTTGCCATGAAGCTTAAGCCCTCTTCTCCTGGAAGACATTCCTTTGGGTTTTTGCTTACAGAGTGAAAGGGAAGGAAAGGGACAGGGGTAGCTTTTTCCATCCCAGCCCTTGGGAACCTTACCAACAGCCTCAGAAGCCTGGCTGGCTCCTTGCTCCCACTGAGTCTATGATCCTCTTTGCTGTTGGCCTATTGTATGCCCCTTGGTGATGGCCTACTGTCCCTGCCCCATACCCTAAGGGAGACCAGAAGATATCTCCTGGCCGCCGGAGTCAGACTCCCATCTTTTCTCTTTCCCAAGTTCTTTTCCCCAAGATATTTCCTCCAATAGCTCAGCTACCAACTACAAAATTAAAAACAGTGGGAGGGGGAAGCTCATTTTGAAGCAAAAATATCTGAAACTGGAGTGTGACAATAGGTTTTACTCCCATTCCCCTCCACCCCACTTTGTTTTCTTCAACTGGCTCAATTCTTACATGTCTCCACTGCCACAGTCAGTATGTCCACTCACTGCTACAGCTGGGTCTTGTTGCTTCACCCACATTGTTCCATGAGCTCACTCACATCTTGTGGTTTTGATTCAGGGCCTGAATATAAAGCAAAACGGCAGCCAGGCTTGACCAATCCATTTCACCTGTGCAATATACGGAGCAAAGCTTTTCAACCGCCAGCATATAAATCAGCCTGGAGGCACACCCCGACTTTACTCATCACCCTCAAAGTTCCTGGGGTAGGGCCTATGATGACACAGCGGGTAGGGACTTTGCGGTGTGAGAGGGGCTGCAGCAAGGCAGGGAGGAGCAGAGGGGCGGGCTGCCCAGATGTTGAAGCCTGGCTGAGGATACTCCCCCCTCTGGTCCCTTTCCCGCACCCACTAGCTGGCCCATGGAACCTGTCACTACTACGTAGCTGCCACTAGGGGGAGCCAAGCAGAGAACAAAGGGAAAGAACACCTGGGGGAAATGGCTTGAGGCTTAAGGAGTGGCATGAGTGGCTGCCTCCGCACCAGTAGGTCCTCCTGGTCCCTTCTTCCCCTTTACATCCCCGGCAGCCAGGATGACAACATGGTGCCCAATTCCAACTCTTTCAACAGAAGGAAAGTACACAAAGTGTTAAGTACATAATCCGAGGTACTCTCCTCTAGAGGGGGAAACAGGACATTACCATTTGGTGTGATAAGGACTACAATGAGGGAAGAGCAAGGTCTGATAGGAGCATAATAAGGGACACCTAGGCCAGTGTTGGGAGTCATGGAAAGCTTCCTGGAGAAAATAGACTCGAAGCAGTTGATTAGAAGTTAGCCAAAGAGAAAGTGGGCAAAGGGTGTCTATCAGGCAGACAAAATAGTACATACTTACCTGGACATCCAAAAGAATGCAGCTGGTGTGTGTGTGTGTGTGTGTGTGTGTGTGTGTGTGTGCGCGCGTGCGAGCACAGGCACATGTTTGTTTGAGGGTAGGATGGGGAGCTGCGATGAGGGATGGAGCTGATGAAACCAGATCATGAAGGATCTTATAAGTAGGGTGACCATAGGCCTATTGTCCTAGCATACTTATTAATAACACTCCCTGTCACTCTCAAAAGTGTCATTGTTTGGATGACATGGTAACCCTATTATATGGTAAGCCTACTTGTAAGACACTAAGGAGTTTGAACTTTATCCTGGAAACAAAAAAGAGCCAGTGAGGGTTTTTAAGCAGGGTAATGACAGGGTCAAATTCACGCAGTTAAAATAGATGGGCAATAGTGTGAAGAATGGATTGGGGTGGGGGAGCAAGAGTGAAAGAGGGGAGATCAGTTAGGAAGTCA